GCCATTTTGTATCTTGACCGCAAAGGTCTGAAAGCGGATCCTGCCGCGATGTCAAACATGCGGATGGGGCCACCAATTGGGATGTGGACCCCTGTCCTCGTGTTTGCAAGCCAACTTAAAGTGAGGAAGATTCGTAAGCCGTAAGGGTCAGTATCTGGAGAAGTACCCATGTTTGTGGTTTACAAATAACACATCCTCCACATGCACGGTTTGTCTTTGGTTTCCATTTTAAAGAATGGGTACCCCTTGCAAAAGAAACACCCGAATGGTTGTGTTGACCAATTCTGTTGGTTTCCCACTTGCAGTTCTCCGATGAGCGTCGTCTCGTTGGAAAGAACAATGCTCACCAAATGGGCGGATCTGCCCATGAGGATGCCCAGAGGATTGAAGATCAAACATTTCGCATTGAAGTGCACATGAGCAGCGTTTTTTTCATCAAATGAAAGGGTTTATACAAAAAGGGAACTGCATCTACTTTGCGGAGGCAATCCTGGTTGGGGGCGTAGGCTCGCGTAGGCTTCAGCGCGTAGGCTGTTGTGTCACCCCTCGTGTGGCTTTTCGCGTAGGCGTTTGTTGAACAAATCATGACTCAGTGCTGTTTGCCACGTATAAAGGAATTTGCTTCTTTTGCATTCCTTCTGTTTGTTCTGCAGTCTTCGCGTAGGCTCCGCGAGGCCCCGCGTAGGCATTCGCGTAGGCTTTTAAGGCATTTTGGGTACGTAGACCTTTTCTAGCAGCCAGATCCTTGGACAAATGTGGGATTCTCACTTGTACTGCATTTCTGATCTTAGAGCCGGAGCTGCCAAAACTGCACTTGTACTGAAAAGTTGCGATTTTCCAGCTGGAGCTGTCACAGTGCACTTCGACACTTGAACTCAACATGTGCCCGCGTAGGCATCCGCGTAGGCACCTGGAAGCTGACTTGTGCTCGCGTAGGCACCCCTCGCAGGCCGCGTAGGCTTGCGTGGGCCTTCGCGTAGGCGTGCAAGTATTGTATAGGCCCCGAACCACCAAAAAAGGACTGCTCACATGCCTTTTTCCAAAAGGAAAGTTGCCTTCTAGAGAAGTGCTTGTGTGAGTCTAGGCTGGGAGGGTATGAGCTCTGAAAACTCTGCGGAAGGTCAACCCGAAACACTGGCTTTTTACTCAGATTAGCATTGTGCCCAAATGACCATTTGTTTAAGAGGCAACTCCTTTGCGGAGCCCCTTTTTGGGTTTTCATGCAATGCAAAATTGCAGGTGAGTGCTTATTCATCCGCGATGGAAATTCTTCCGGTTTTTTACCGCCCATCCCGTCCAACTTGAGGATGTGCAGGGCACGCTGCTCATGGAGGACAACGAGTTGCAGCCCGGCGATGAGCCTTGGAGCAGTGCCTCTGTAGACCGCGATTGGGATCTCTTTGGAAGTCACGTTCTTTACTGTTGTTCGCATGGTTTCACGATTGAGTTTGTTGGCTTCGTTCAGTTTGGTACGGAGCTGCAAAAAACAAGTCGTTCTTTTGCAACCAGACCAAGGGTTGGGCAGTTTTTCCGTAGCTGGAGTGTTCATAGGCAATCCTTTTCGGGCTCCCCTAAGTGGATTTGCGCTTGGCCAACATCTCGATTTGTTTGGACAGCCCAGGCAAGGCTTGCTAAGTTTGGGCCAGAATCAACCAGGACATGTTTTGGGTGGGGCGAGAGCTAAGATACTTGCTGGAACAACGGATCACGTATGGGCGCTTTGGTGTTTGTTTGCTTTTGTTTGACTTGCCTTTTGCGGCAAAGGCTCGTCTTTTCAGCCCAACTTCTTGGAAAAACATGCCCGCAAAAGTCCCCACCGTATCGGCCGAGTTGTCCCAAAGAAGGTGGTAAACGGTATCGGACGTTTGGGAGCATCCCCCAATTTCCCGGTCCCTGGCTGAATTCGCTTCACGTTGGGGCCCTCCAGTTTTCTTTTGGGCCTTGGGACAGTTTCCATTGAGCAGCTCGCCATGAATGTTAATAGGTTGGGCGTTTTTAAGAAGGCCTGTGGGGACCCCCATAGGACAAATTCAATAAACTTTGAGTTTCATAATTCTCAGAAACCTAATATTGTTTTTGAACATTTTTAAATATTGTTTAAATTGTTTAAAAATGTTTTTATTGTTTTTTGAATATTTCAATTATTGTTGAAACTTTGTTCAAATAATGTTTACATATTGATTACCTTGTTTCAATATTGTTTAACTATTGCTTAACATTTGCGGAATGTGTTTTACATCTTCAGTAAGATGATTAACACACCATGACATGCTAAGAGGACGATGCTGCGGCTGTTTGGGGTGCTGTTTGCGGGGATTTGTGTAGGAGTTGCAGCAGCCAACAGTTCCATGCGTGCTTAAAATCACACTGCCATGCTTTTTCCCTAGCCAACTTCCTGGTATGAGGAGAGCGGGAACTCACAGAGCCGCTTGGCTCAAGCTTCAGGCGCCGCAAGATATGGCCAAGTCGTTCTCGGTGCATTTTTTCCGTCATGGCCGCTGTGTTAGACTTTGACTCTGTGCTTGCGATTCTGCAGGGCTTGGGAGAGTCAGAAGATGCAGGGGGCGGCCTCGGGCCAGAACACGGCAGGCGCCGGGCAGGAGGAGGCCGCCGACCCGCAAGAGGCAGACCGGGCAACGCAAGAGTCGGAAGGTTTGGGAGAGGTCTCCGGCAGCACATCGCCAATAAGAAGAAGAAGACAAGGGGCCTGAAGAGAAGACAGGCCCTTGCAGACTGGCAAGCAGGCGCGTTTAACAAGAGCGGGCGGTCTCGGAACCAGGACTTCCACATGCCTGTCCACTCAGATTAGCTGCGAAGGAGAACCAGCAAGGAAAGATTTTTTTGGCATTCGGGGGTTGGCTTTGAATCGGGGGTTGGCTGGCCGTTCTGACAAGAATGCTGTGAGATTGCGTTGAGCAGCGCCGTCCCCCCCAACCCCAGCGCTTTGAACGCGTAAAGGCTATCAGCGCCGCGTAAAGTTTGATTTTAGTATGGAGAGCGAACCGCTCTCCGTGGGCAGAGACGCAAGAAAGGGCTAGGTCTGGGGGCTGACTTGTTTGTTTTTGTAGATTCTGAGCAAGTTGCGCCATCCATAGAAAGCTGGTGGGCCTTCTACTGGGCTGCTGCTGCTGATGCGAGAATATCGCACGATCCAAGTTGCCGGCAGCAAGTTTACTGGCGCCAGCAAGGAAAGGGCAACAGGAGACTTTGGATAAACCGCAGACACATCACGAGCGTTTTGGTGCTTTGCCCGTTTGCTTGCTTGTTTGCAGCTGTCGCCTGTGTTTGCTTGCTTGTTGTGCCTGCGGTCTGTCTGGTTCTTCAGTTTGTGTGTAGAGACAACAGCCATGAAAAAGCTCCGCCAGAATCTTTGTGATTGAAACAGTCAAGTGGCTGGCAACGACGTCGGGTTATAGCCGGTGCCTCTAGGTATAGCTTCAGATTAGACGCGAGCTGCACGCATCTTCAAATTACTTAGCCTCCTTGCGCGCAAGCAGTTCTTCCATGAAACGGCGGATTCTCAGTCACGCCGCCGCCGCCTGTTCTTTTTCATTGTTGTCATGGTTGCGTGAGATGCTGCGAACATGGTACTATTGCTGTGACTGCTGTTGCTAGCCGTTGTTGCTGCTCCTGTTGTTGCTGTTGTTGGGCGGCGGCGGTGGTGGTAATGGTAGTGGTGATGGCGGCCGCGGCGGGCGCGACTGCGGTCGAAGATGAAAAGTCGCTGATGTTGCTGCTGTTGGCTGCGGCTGATGCTGTTTTGGTTGTTGTTGCTGTTTCTCTCGCTGGCGTTGGGATGCTGTTGCTGATGTCGCTGCTGCTGTTCTTCTTCTTGCCCTTGTTTTTGTTGACACAGTTCCAGTTATCGTTGCTGTTGGCGCTGCCATTGTTGTTGTCGTTGCCGTTGTTGGCCAGCTGCTATCGCCATTGTTGTTGCTGCTGCTGTTGGTGTTGCTGCTGCTATTTTCCATGTTGTTTTTGTTTTTGTTGGTAACGTCTTCGCAGGCAGCCGCGGCAGCTGCTGCTAGCCATCGTTTCGCGGTTGCTGCAGTGGTTGCAGTTCGGGTTTGTCGCTGTCGACGCTGCGCGGCTGTTGGTTTTGCTGGCAGCGCCGCCGCTGGTGTTGTAGGGCTGTTGCTACGGTTGTTGCTTCTTGCTACTGTTACCTTTGCGGTTGGTGTAGCTCTTGCTTTTGTTGCTGCTGCTAATGATGCTTTGCTGTTGCTGCTGCTCTTGTCGTTGTTGCTGTTTCTATTGCCGTCTTCATTGTCACGACGGCTGCTGCTGCTGCTGTTGTTGCTACTGCGGTTGCTGCCGCTCCTGATGTTGTCGTCGATGACACTGATATTGGTATTGATGTTGGTGTTGGTGCCGTTGCCGCTGTTTCTGTGTTTTCGTTTTTTTGTTGCTGTTGCTGTTGCCATTGTCGTCGCTGCTTCTGCTGCTGCTGCTGCTGCTGCTGCTGCGACGCTTGTTGCTGATTTGGTTGGGGTTGTGGTTCTGGCTGCGGTTCGACAAGCTGTTCTTAAGTTAGTAATTCTGCCTGTTGTTGCTGCTGCTTCGCACAGGGGAACAAACTGCACCAGCCTGGCCTTGAAGAACATATATGCCTTTCAAAGATCACGCGCGCTTAGGCAAAAGAGGGGCCTTGCCTTGAATTTGTGCTACAGTTGACAGGCGTCAAAATTTCTTAAAGCACCGGGTTGACCGAAACGTGACCTTCGACAAACAATTGCTGGCTGGCTGGGGCTGTCAGCGCTGGAAACTATCGGCGAATCACGGTTGCATGGGCCCTGAGCGCTGGTGGGCGACATTGGCAATAAACTCAACATTGCTCATTTGTTTGAATCTCAGATTTTTCAATCGACTACCAATAGGACCAATATCCGATTTTCCAAGCACCGACGTGAAAACCAAACTTTCGACAATCTAAATATTGTTGAGCCCTTCAAATCACGCAAGCACCGTTGGCCAGGAGCCATAGGGCAAACATGTGTAAAAACTGCACTGCCGGCAACCCAGAAAACCCTTCAACAAACAGCACTGGGCTCAAATTGCGCATCACCAGCTGCCAACCTGGAGCTGGCAGCTGGCAGCTGCCAGTCTGGAACCGGAACTGCCAGCTCCAGACTGCCAGCTCCAGACTGTCAGTCCGGAGCTGGCAGCTGCCATTCCGCGGCAGCTGCCAGTGCAGAGCTGTGAGATGCCTGTCTGGAGTTGGCAGCTGACAGTCTGCAGCTGGCAGTCTGGCAGCTGGCAGTCTGCAGCTGGCAGTCTGCAGCTGGCAGTCTGCAGCTGGCAGTCTGCAGCTGGCAGTCTGCAGCTGGCAGTCTGCAGCCGGCAGTCTGCATCTGGCAGCCTGCAGCTGGCAGCCTGCAGCTGGCAGCAAGTTTTGGTCACAAAACCACTCAAAATCCCGACCCCCGTTTTGTGACCGTTCCGACCTCGGAATGGTCACAAAATTTCGGCGGGGTCCCGGGGGACCCCCCGACCCCCCAAGCCAGAAAGAGCGGTTGTTGTCCCAGACTCCCGTTTTGTGACCGTTCCGAGGTAACGGGGGTCGGGATTTTGAAGGGCTTTGTGACCAAAATTTGCTGCAGGCTGCCAGCTGCAGACTGCCAGCTGCAGACTGCCAGCTGCAGACTGCCAGCTGCAGACTGCCAGCTGCCAGACTGCCAGCTGCAGACTGCCAGCTGCCAGACTGCCAGACTGCCAGCTGCAGACTGTCAGCTGCCAGCTGCCAACTCCAGACAGGCATCTCACAGCTCTGCACTGGCAGCGGCAGCTGCCAGCTCCGGACAGACAGTCCGGAGCTGGCAGTTTCCGGTTCCAGACTGCAGCTGCCAGCTGCCAGCTCCAGGTTGGCAGCTGGTGACCTGCAATTTGACGCCCAGTGCTATTTGCTGAAGGATTTTCCGGGTTGCCCAGTGCAGTTTTTACACATGTTTGCCCTATGACCCTTGGCCAACGGTGCTTGCGTGATTTGAAGGGCCTACTGCTCAACAATATAGATTGTCGAAAGTTTAGTTTTCACGTCGGTGCTTTGAAAATCGATTGCTGGCAGCCGATTGAAAAATCTGAGATTCAATCAAATGAGCAATGTTGGGCACAGGGGGGTTTATTGCCAATTTCGCCCACCAGCGCTCAGGGCCCACACAACCGTGATTCGCCGATAGTTTCCAGCGCTGACGGCCCCAGCCAGCCAGCAATTGTTTGTCGAAGGTCACGTTTCGGTCAACCCGGTGCTTTAAGAAATTTTGACGCCTGTCAACTGTAGCACAAATTCAAGGCAAGGCCCTCTTTTGCCTAAGCGCGCGTGATCTTTGAAAGGCATATATGTTCTTCAAGGCCAGGCTG